TTATTAATGTGCACCTGCCTGTCATTTCCAAGCTGTGCTCCCCGTACTGGAGGCAGTTTGGAGCTGCAGCTCTCAGGTGGGGCCTTTGAACAGCTACTTACTCAGAAGGTGAAAACCTTTACTCCAGGCAGAATCTCTGGTACCTGAAGAGGAGCCCTCACCCCCAGATCCAGGACATGGGGAACCTACCCCAAGATGTTTTTCTCCAACACGTTCACTCCATGAGCTAGAAATGTACACTGGGGAGGATAAAATCTATCGCTTGTTTGCCTATGTAGTCTCGTCCAGGACAAAGAAGGGTGTGCATAGGTAATCAGTTAAGTGGACTCCTCACTTCCCAGAGTTTTTTACATTGAAAATGATCAGCATGGAACTTAATCTGGGTCATTGCTGAGCTCAGTCATCTGACATGGATAGTTTATGGTGAAGGACCTTGTCAGTGACAGCGTATGGAATAATGGTTACTTCTTCCAAGTAATCCTGTCCCCAGAGATTCCTACCTTTCCCATCATTCTCTGGTACAGTGTTAGGAAGAGCTCGACATCGAGGAAACACAGGATCCAACATGCTTGACCCAGAGCCAGGCTCACCCAATTTCACTCCATGTGCACCACTGCCCCAATGAACCCAATTGTGGCAAGTGTGTAGTATGTAGCAGGTGCCTAATAAATGCATCACATGATGCAATCTGAGCAGTCCATTCCACATAAAGGGCTGACTTGGAACGTAATGCGTTCTTCATCCCAGGATTTAAAGCATGGCCTGAATTATCAAAGGGCTGGAATGTTGCAAAAAAAATTTTAATCTTACTAGCGGGCCTGACCGATGTGGCCCAGTGGATGAGTGTCAATCTATGAATCAGGAGGTCACGATTCGTTTGCCAGTTGGTTGGGGCACATGCCCAGGTTGCCGACTTGATCCCCAGTGAAGGGCATGCAGGAGGCAGCCAATCAGTGATTCTCTTTCATCATTGATATTTCTATCTCTCCCTCTCTCCTTCTCTGAAATTAAAAAAATATATACATATATATTTAATTTTTTAAAAAATATATTTTATTGATTTTTTACAGAGAGGAAGGGAGAGAGATAGAGAGTTAGAAACATCGATGAGAGAGAAACATCGATCAGCTGCCTCCTGCACATCTCCCACTGGGGATGTGCCCGCAACCCAGGTACATGCCCTTGACCAGAATCGAACCTGGGACCTTTCAGTCCGCAGGCTGACGCTCTATCCACTGAGCCAAACCGGTTTCGGCTTATATATTTAATTTTTTATATATCTGAGCCAAAGAGCAAAAGCAGCCCATAGACACGTTCACTGTTTTTTTTAAATTATAACAATTTAAAAATTGCCAAAGTTCACAAAAATGATTACTAGCTCCAAAAAATAAGATCTGGCAACACAGGCCACAGTCGACCGGAGTCCTCGCAGTTGGGTAGCAGCTTTCTCTGGCCCTTAGCCCTCTTCCCACTGAAAGCTTTCCCACTCTGACTTCCCGTTGTTACTACCTTGTACCTCTGGGCAATTGACTTTGTGCCCTAAGCAGAGCTGCTTTGGGTTGAAGGGAAGATGGGGCCTGGAGTCCCCTTCACTGGGGCCCCTGAGGCCGTTTCATAGAACTCTAGAATTTCAATCAAGTTTCATTCTTTGCCCTGCAAGCACCCTGATCTTCCCAAAGCCCTCCTTGGGGCTTCCTATTGAAAGAATTCCAAATGCAGTACCTCACGAAGAGTTAGGTTAAATTATTCATAGAGCGAGCTTGAGGTGTGTGATAGGACATCACCTAAGCACCGTTTATTCACAGCATCAGACATAGCTTTTAGCTCCAAGGATCTATCCCCAGCTCTGCCAAAGAGAACGGCTTCACATGCCAACAGAGAGCTTATCACGCTGTGTCCTACACCCCTGAAAAGCAAAGCACTGCTGTCTCGATGTCCACGTGTGCACAAGCCCTGATCGATGTTTCCTCTAATGTTCCACGAGTTGTTGGCCCATACCTAAAGTTCAGCGTGACACACACATGCTGAAGATGAATAGCAGACAATTCAGAAATGGAAGGAGAGACGAGAGATCAATCAGAACTGGGGCTACATTGAGCTCCCACTTAATGGGAGTCTGGAATCCAGTTTGCTCTGGCTGAGGTGCCTTCTCGTTGCCCTTCACAGGATTAGGCATTTTCCCAGTCCCCTTTAGAGTCCCCTGCCTCACCCGACCTGTAGAACAAGCCCCCTCTCCCCCACTCCCTCCCCACCAGCTGTAACCCACACTTCTTGCCTCCTACACTTCACTACCGTCTTTCCGTAGTTGGTATTAGCATCCATGCATTGGTGTTTTCTGGTCCTCATGATGGATATGATGGAAGACATAACAAACCCTTGGCAATGAGACACCAGGAAGAGACCAGCATCCCATCAGCAAAGTGGCAGTGCCCACAGCACATGCTCCGTCACATTATGCTAAGAGCCCTGGGGATGGCCACGATGACAGTCTCCAAGGAGACACCCCTTCAAATCTGATGCAGAGACCATGCTGGCAAAGCTACTGGGGCCCTGATCACAGTGTCTTGTCTTCTCCTAAGAGTGTCCCCCACTAGACAGGGGTCTTTCATGAAAGGGACAATCTAATTTGTTTCTATGCAGAGAGATTTCAGACACACACTGTGGAGAACCCCAAGGGTGGGGCGGGGGGAGACTCTCAAACTACTTAATGGTGAGACAATTGTCACTGAAAGAGACACCATATCACAGACAAGTTTTTATTACTTTGTCCTCCATATAGAACCCCAAATTATAAAAACATCTCTAGCACTAATCAAAGGAACAACCGGCCCCTTCCCTCCCTGGATGGGCTCAGACGGGGGTACTGGGGGGTTGCAGGCCACCTCCCTCTGTCCGGTGAGTGAGTTCCATATAAAAATAGATCTATAGGGGGGTTCCGAAAGAGCCATCAGCTTGCATCACACCAGCACCCGTTCAGGGCTGAGGCCTGGGAACCCTCAGGATTCTGGGACCTCACTCCAGTGGAGGGAGATCTACCCTGGACACCGAAGTCCTGCCCACAGGGGCCACTCTGCAGAACAGCTGCTGGGGGGCGGGAGGGGACTTTGACCTTTAGACCTCGACTGATGGAGCCGGAGCTGGAGATGAGGCTCCCTCCACACAAGACTGGACGCTGGTCCCCACACCATGTCTTCTCCAAGCTTCCCGGGGGCAGGGGCTGGGGGTGCCGAGCCTGAAGGGCACCTGGCACGGGACCCTCCAGCCCTGTCAAAGGTGGAAGCAATATCTTGGTCTCCCCTAGTACCCCCCAGAGTCTCTGAGCTGGGGCAGGTGCCCAGTAAACAGAAAGTAGGTTGGGGGCGGGGGGGGACCTAAGGAGAAAAGAGCTGGCAGGGCCAGGCCAAAGGCACTGCTGTGAGGCACCATCCCCACCACGGGGTGCTCCCCAAAGGTGCGCTGCGTCTTCCAGCCCCCAGGCTCCTTCTCAGCTCCCCCTTCTGCTTGGGCTCCTCCTTTCCTAGGGCCTCCATCTAGGCCGCCTGGAAGCTTCATCCCCTAAGGAAGGACCCTTCCCACCTTTAAAGCCCCTGAACTTCCAAGTCAGCCTTTCAGCCAAGAAGCCCTCCAGACATCCCACCACACACACAATCAAGAGTCCAGCTGCCCCTCCAGCCCACCAGCCAGCCCAAAGGTCTCCCCTGGGGCCCCGGGGCACGTGGGCAGGCACCCTTGGGGTGCTTCTTGGTGCCTGAGCTCATCTCCCCACCTGGCCTAAGCCCTCCAAGGGCCGGCTCTGTGTCTCATTCACCCCTTTGCTCCTTCCCATCCCACCCCATCCCAGCCCACCCCACCCCACACACAGCCAAACCCAGAGAGGCCTGTCAGGAGTCACCTGGAAAGACAGGCCCCGTGGCCCTATCCAGCCCCAGCCGCCTTCCTGACGCACTACGACAGCCTGGCCTCATGGTCACCTCCACTTTTAGGGAGCCCCACTGGACAAGGAACTCTGGAATCAGCCTAGTGCACCCGCTTTGGTCAGAGGCCTGCAGAAGCCCCAGGGAGGAGGCGCTCTGTGGGGCTGGGCGGTGGCCAGGGGATGGAGCTCCCCATAGGGGCTCACCTCAGAGTACCTCTGGCTGCCACAGCACAGGGGGTGGTGTCACAGGGCAGGACCAAGGCCTCTCTCCAGAGCCAGCCTCACCCCTGCACAGGGCCCTGTGCCACCTGGTTGTAACCCAGGCCTGGCCCTGACTCCTCCCTGGGCCTCAGTTTTCCCCATCTGAACAGTGAGGGTTGGCCCAGCCTGTCAGAGAGAGAAGGTCCATCTCTGAGAGTCTCTTCTTCACCGTCCCCAAGGCTGGACACAAAGCCCGGGGTCCCCCTGGAGAGAACACATCTCCCCGCCTGCTCGTCCCAGGGGTCCCGGCCACTGAGTTTATAAAAGGAATGCAAAGTGCACAGAGAGGCTCGGGGGCCTCAGGGGAGCACCAGGACCTCGAGTGGCCCAGCCAGGACCCTTCCCTCCCGCTGAACTGTCAGCCCAAAAGCAAGGGAAGCAGAAACCCGCTCCAGAGTCTAGGGCCTCGAGGTCCAGCCCCTGAGCTCAGCACCTCCTCTGCTGCCTGCGCCTCGGGGACCAACGTCCAGCCGGGGCTGAGCCAGGGCGCAAGGAGCTGAGGACCCTGCCCTCCAGGGCCCATCAGGACGGGCTTCCAGGCAGCTCGGTCACTCAGGCCTAAAGAGAGCCCAGCAGGGACCCAGGCTGCCTGCTGGCCAATGGGTCTGTGGGATAAGGGGCAGGTCCCAGCCCCCTGTGGATGTGGCAGACAGGAGGGCATGAGCCTGGTGATTTGAAACTGTCTTCCCTCCCTGCCCAGCCCCACCTCAGTCTCTGAAACCCTGCACTTCCTCCCTCTTCTCTCGAGGGCCTTCTCCAGGGATCTGACCCTTTTCCCAGGGAGACTGAGTCAGCCCAGGTGCTCAGACTGAGGAAATGGGACGAGTGCTCACTTCTGCACGGTGGAGCGCAGCTTGCCAGGGTGCTGTCAAGACGGGGTCTGCAGCCCACTGGAGTCCCGGCCTGAAGAGTGGGGGCTGCTCACACCTGCACCCCCTGGCCCTGCAGCTGGAGCACTCGTGCCCGCAGGGCGCTGACCCCACTGAGGAGGGCCTCCCGATGTTCTGCCGACGAGATGCCCAAGCTCACCAGGTCTCTGCGAAGAAGAACGAAGAAGAATGGGTCAGACCCAGCTGCTCAAGCCCCTCCCTCTGTCTGGACAGGGAACACCCAGAATCAGGACCTGCTGGGCCTCCCGTAGAGGCGGGGCAGGGCCCTGGGTTCCCCCCACTCACTGCGCAGTCATGGCGGCCACGGCCTCCAGGCTCCCATAGCCAGCTGCCGTGAAGCTGTCCTTGTAGCGGCCCAGGTCCAGGGCCTCCAGCCAGGCGCCCACGGAGCCAAAGGAGGGGAAGGTGGAGAAGGCACGGTCCGCCAGGGGAGTGGGTGGCCTGGGGGCAGAGGGGGGCGGCCAATCAACAGGAGGATCCGGTGCCCAGCCTGCTCACTGTCCTGCGGACAGGCCAGCTGTGCAAGGACAGACGGGGAGGCCTGGGCCCAGGGCACACCTGGCTCACACCGCGTGCCACACATTCTCAGAGCAGGTGAGTGTTCGACACACTCAGGCGGGTGGGAGCGGGTTGCACCTGAGCCAGCCAAAGGTCCTGGGAGTATCTGGAACAGTCTGGGGGTAGGACACACCTAGGACAGTTTTGGAGGCAACTCATATTTGGACAACTCGTCCTAATTTCACTTATTTTATTTACTGGAATGACAAGTCAGTCAGGACTGTGACCACAAATATTATCCAATGGTCACTGTCCCTGGGGTATGTGAGCACAGCCCAGGACAAGCAGAAGTGGCTGAGGTGGATGAAGGCTGCATGTGCCTCCGGCAGCCGAAGATCAGATCTACCTGGGACGGCGGTGAGCAGTCCTACCTAACGGGTGGGTAGGAGAGATGGGGCTGCTGGACGAGGGGCACGGGGGCGGCCACTCATGGTCAGGTGAGAGGCCGCTGAGTCTGCTGTGGTCGGGGACAGATGGGGACGTACCTGGGACAGGGGGCCGTAGCACACTTCGGGGGATCTGGGTCCTGCACCATCTTGCTCAGGATGCTGTGGATCTGGGAGAACCTGGGCCGCTCACCCGGGTCCTTCTGCCAGCAGTCCAGCATCAGCCGGTGCAGGGGGGAAGGGCAGTTCCTGGGGGGCGGCAGCCGGAAGCCATCCTCCACGGCCTTGATTACCTGGGCCATGGGGGGGGGGGGCAGAGGGAGGCTTTAGATCCCCCCAACACACACACACACACACACACACACACACACACACACACACCACCCCAGAGGAAGACTGGGATGGCCAGGTAGGACTAGAAGCAAAGAAACAGTGAAGAGGAACCAGGGAACTGAGGTCAGAGGGCAAGAGGATCAGAAGGCAGGGAGCTGGAGCCACAGGTCACTCACGTCCTGGCTGGACATGTCCCAGTAGGGCCGCTCCCCAAACGCCATCACCTCCCACATGACAACACCGAAGCTCCACACGTCGCTGGCAGAGCTGAAGTGGCCGAACTGCAGCGTCTCGGGGGCGGCCCACAGCGCCGGGCTCCGGCCACTCTGCGGGCGGGCGGGCAGGTCAGGGGTGGACACCCAGGTTCCCCACACCACAGGGTCCCAGAGCCAGCCCCACCGACCATCCTCCCAGCTGCACATCTGGGGAGAGCACACAAGCTGACCGCAAGGCGATGTCCACACTGGCATTTACCCAGGACCAACTGGTGAGGGGCGGGGAGGGGCGGGAGAGGGGAGATGGAGACTCTGGGGCAGTTTGATGGAAACAGGGGAGCAGGCTTGCCTCGGGGAAACAGCTCCTCACCATGGTGGTGTAGACAGCCTCTGCTCGGTCCCGAGGTCCCCGCCCAAAGCCGGAAATCTTGCAGATAAGGCCACTGCTGACCAGCACGCGGCGGGCGGCCAGGCCCCGGTGAACGTAGCCCATCTCTGACAGATACTTCATGGCTGACGCCAGCCCAGGCAGCAGCCCCAGCAGCTGCCCGGCCACCATCTGGCCCTCGTGCCGCTGAGGGAGGAAGGAGATGGAGGCCAGGGCTGCACACTCAGCTCCCCTGGTGCTGTGCGACCCCAGGAAAGTCACGTGGCCCTCTCTGCGCTTCAGCTTGCCCTGTCACCCACCAGGTCGGCCTGGCCAGTGGGTACCTTTTCAGGGAATGATGCCACTCCAAGTCCCAACAAAGAGAAGATAACGCGGTCATTTCTACCCCCAGGGCCCACAGCACTCACCCTGAGGAAGCCGTCCAGGGCCCCGTGGCTCAGGTACTCAGTGACGATCATCAGGGTGCTTCCTGTGCCCGGGGACGTGGACACACACAGGCTCAGATGGCCGCTCCCAATGGACACATGCTCCCCTATGTGGGCCCCGACCTGGGCCAAGATGCCCGGAACCAGGGCCACTCTCCCCCCTTCAGGACCCAGGGTCCCCTATGCTGATGCTGAACAAGAGGAGGCGTCCATAGGGGGACAAAGGCCCCGGGCAAGAGCTACACGTTTGCTGAGAAAGGTCCAAGCAGCCGATCCCACAGAGCGTCACCACAAGTCAGAAAGGTCACTCAGGGCCAGCGGGGCCACCCTGCCACCCTGAGTCGGGGAAGAAAAGCTGAGACCTTTCCCCCATGCTGGGCATTTCAGGGGCTCCCTCTCAGCGTAGGGAAGGGCCCTGGGGCACATCCCCACCTCCATCCGTGCGGAGCACTGGGCCCTACCTCGGGTGACAACCCCCTCCAGCCGCACGACGTTGCTGTGGTCAAACTGCCCCAGCGTGAGGGCCTCGGCCAGGAAACTGAGCCTCTGGGAGTCGGAGCAGCCTTCCCTCAGTGTGTGCACAGCCACCGGGAGCCCCTGGCGGCCAGGGAGCTGCAGGCGGCCACAGCACAGCTCCCCAAACCGCCCTGTGGGGAAACAGCACCTCAGACACCCGCGGGAGGCCGCTCCCCTGGCCAACCCGGGCAGGGGGAGCGAGGAGAGAGCAACTTCTGGGTCATGGGCTGCTTCCGGTCTGGGACTCGGCGCTCTCGGGTTCAAACCATGCTACACTGAGTGCCAGCAAAGTGACGTGGCTCCATGTCTCCCTCCCTCTCCTGCCTGGTGTTCGTGCGAAAGGGGACTCCCCCTGCCTGCCTCAAAGAGAGGGCCTGGCATATGCCCGCACGGCAAAGGCTCCTCCAGCCCAGTGTGGCTCAGGGTGACGATGGCGCCCATTCTGCCACACACCGCTTTCCGGCTTCTGCCCAGTGAGTCTGCAGCCGTGTCAGGGCTTAGCTTCTGGCTCCTGGTGCAAGTGGCTGCCTTCCCCAGCACAGGCCAAGGAAGAAAGAGAGTCAGGAGACTGACCATTCGGGGGCGAGCACCTACCATGAGCCAGGCCTTGGGCTGAGCCTGTGAAGTCCCCATATCAGCTCTGTCTGAGGCAGCTCTCATGCCCATTTTGCAGATGAGAAACAGGCTCAGAGCAGAAGGAGGATGTGCCCCTGATCACACAGCTGGGTAGTGACAGAGCTGGGACTACAGCTCAGGAAGGTCTGGTCCCCAGGCTTGCAAAGGCCCCGTGAAGGCCTGGGACTGAACGTCTGCCCGTCTGCCCGTGGCAGTCTGAACAGGCCAGCTCTGAGAGGCCTTGGGGTGGAGGCAGGCCTACGGAATCGAAGTGGGGGGAGCGGCGGTGGGACTTCTAGAGGGGGTGGGGCTAGGGCAGAGGCGGTGCCCCCCAAGGACAAGGCTCCGGGGTGCCCAGCTCGCCTGCTCCGAGGCTCTTCTCCACTGTGACGCTTTTCGCATCCAGCTCCTTGGCAAACAGGTGAACGGCCTGCAGTGGGTCCCCACAGCTCTGGGGGTCCATGAACGTGCGGCGAGTCGGCACTTTGACTGGGAACACACACAAAGAGGGAGGGTCCTGCGGAGAGGGGCTTCCATGGCTGGAGGGTGGGGGTGTGCAGTGGATGCGGGAAGAGGGATGAGGAGTGAGGGAGGGGGCAGCCGCCCCACCCCATGCCAGGCCCAGACAACTCACAGTGGAAATACAGCTCCTCCTCATCGTGGGCATCCTGACCTCCTTTGCCATAGCTGCAGGGCCTGGGGGTGCAGAGTCATTCCTTGAGCCAGGCTGCCCAGCCCTCCCCATTTCACCAGTGGCGGGGGGGGGGGGGTACCTCTTTGTCCCTTCAGAAGGACAAGGTCTGTGCCCCAGGGGAGGGATCTTCTTATTCAGCTGGTTTGAAAGCTCCTCCCCACGGCACTCATGTAACCCTAGCGCCAGACCTAACTCCTCACCCCCATCAGCATTCCTAGTTATTTTCACTTTGAGTCACAGGGCATATTCTTGCCACTCCGGAGGCGCCCAAATCTATACCCCTGACTTTTAGTTCAAGCTGCCCCCCTGGCTGAAGGGGAACAGAACAAACCGGCCTTGCACTTGGGGGCAGCTTCCGGTGTAGCCAGGAAAACCAACACACTGAGTTCACCACGGCCCCTTACAGGGCCCAGCAAAGGGGAGGGCTGTGCGCTGCGGAGCACAGAATGGCTGGAAACACGCCTTCCGGGCCATCAGGACGGCTGCCTGAGACAGGCCACTGTGGGCCAGAGGACTACATCACAACCAACACAGGCTGGCATTTGGGGCCCCCTGAGGCTGGGCCATGCTGGCCCAGATAAAGACTCTGACTTTTATTCCAGATTGGAGGAGAGCCCCTAGGGAGCTCTGAGCAGGGGAGAGCTGAGATGCCATTTGCATTTTAGAGAGATCATCCTGCTGCTGCTGCTGTCCCTGCTGGCAATGGCGGTGGCTCAGACTATGGGGTGAGAAAAGCGGGAGGACTCAGAGACATGTAGGTGACAGGGAGGCAGAAAGGGAGAGGAAGAAGGCTTGCCCAGCAGAGTTCATGGTGCTGCCATTTGCCAAGAAGCGGGGATGAAAAGTTCATGTCTAGACATTTGAGTTTGCAGGGCCTCTGGGATGAGCAGGAGGATCGGTGGGAGGGGGTCAGTATGTGTGTGTCTGTGCCTGGAGTTTGGAACACAAATTCAGGAGCTGTGAGAAGCGGGACTAGGAACAAGTCAGAGGACCCCCTACGTTTGGAGATTGGGTAAGGGAGGAGGAAGCCAAGGAGATCACTACAGAACCGCCAGAGAAGTGGGAGGGAAACTGGGTGCTGATGTCACAGGAACCACGGAAAGAAGAGCAGCAGGGAGAGAGGTCAGCCACGGGCGGGCTGGAGGAAGAGGGATCAGGGGAGGCTGGAGAGAGGTGGTCATGGCTCCGTACCAGCGGGGAAGGGGAGAAAGGCTGTCTGTCACATCGGAGGAAGTGGTCACGGGGCGGTTAACAGCGTGGGCTCTGGAACCTCACTGCAGGGACTGGCTTCCCAGCTCCTCTACTCAGCAGATGAGGGACTGAGGGGCTCGGTTTTCTCTTTAATAAAATCAGGAAATAATCAACCAAAGACCTTGTGTGCATATATGCATAACCCATGGACACAGACAATAGGTTGGTGAAGGTCTGGGGTGGGGGGTGGGAGTGGGCTGGAGTGGGCCAATGGAGAGGAAAGGGGACATATGTAATACTTTCAACAAGATTAAAAAAAAAAAGACGGCCCACCTGATAGCACTGTTTCAGTGAATGTTAGCTGTCATGTGGGGGAGAGAGGGACATTATAAATAGTACAGGTTCCTGAGACGTGAGAGGGAGAGGGCCCAGGTCCTAGGTAGGAAGACTGACCCTGGCTAGGAGGACGGCACCTCCTCTACAGCGCAAGGAGGGAGAGGAGGCTATGAGAGAGGCAGGTGTGTCGACCTGGTGGTGAGCAGATGAGGGGCTAACGATACAGTTGAAGAGACGGGGCAGCAGAGGTGGCTGAGGGAGCAAGCTGCAGGGACAGGGAGCCTGAAGGACCAAAGTAGAAATGAACAGGTCCTTGTCAGGATAAGGGGGGGGGAGGTGGAACAGAAGAGAAGGTCCTTGGGAACGAGGTAGTCAAAACACGGAGAGGCGGGGGGCTGGGACTGGCCATGCAATGGCTACGCAAGGCACTCAGCATGGTGACAGGACTTCCATGAGTGAGGGGACATCCAGGAGAGGGGGTCGAGATGAAGGGAAGGGGCGAGGTGAGTGGGTGGAGTGGCAGAGGAAATGAGAAGCTTCCACTGGAAGACACCCTCTAGCGACAAGTGGGATGAGCCAGGATAGAGCGAGGAGGGGAAGGGAGGTGAGACCACTGCACAGGGCAAGGACGACAGAGGTCTGGAGTGCGCCCCGTGCCCATCGGCACTAGACCGGCTGATTCTCCCCACTTCACTGTCCTCTGAATTTGAGCAGGTTTTGAAACCCACCCCTGGCTTGTTCTGCCTGCTCAGTACATCTGTCTCTGAGCCCTCCTGGGCATCGGCTCCAGCCTGCAGAGTCCTCCCAGGAAGGTGCTCCTCGTTCACCTCTCTCCCCCTTCCTTTCTGCCTCCCTGAGCCCCTAAACCAGGGGTCCTCAAACTTTTTAAACAGGGGGCCAGTTCACTGTCCCTCAGACCGTTGGAGGGCCAGACTATAGTTTTAAAAAAAACTATGAACAAATTCCTATGCACACTGCACATATCTTATTTTGAAGTAAAAAAACAAAACGGGAACAAATACAATATTTGTATTTGCATGTGGCCCGCGGGCCGTAGTTTGAGGACCCCTGACAGGCAGGACACAATGCTTTCCCAGTAGGTCCAACATATGAACTTTGAGGCTCTGTGAAAAAGGAGCTCGCTACTCCGGTCCTGCCTTCCCGACCCCCTGCCCAGGCAGAGCTGGCTCCCAGACCCGCAGGACAAGGTCCTCTCCCCCGTAGTCACTTCCTGTCATACCCAATGAATGCTCACTGTCCCTCCAGCCACAGGCAGTGAGTTCCAGGATGCTGAGATGTGTGGAGATGTGGCTCTCTGGCCAGCCCTCGTCTCTCCTCTGCTCCCCCAGCTGCAGCCCTTTGCATGCAGACTCTCCAACCCCTCAAGTGTGCTGAGCTCAGCTCCTCCCCTCCCCACCCCACCCCAGCCCACCCGGACCTGCCTGGGGAGCATGTGCCATGAGGTTTCGGCTGCAAGCAAAAGGACTGGAATCTTCTCTGAGCTACATTCAAGAGCCATCTTCCCCTCCTCCCAGCCCCCTTCTCTGCCCTCTCTCCTGCAAGCTTCCTTCTGCTGGGGGTTGGGGGGTTTTGGTTTATCAGTTCCCCTCCCTGTCCTGCCCCCTCCCACACACATACACACAACACAATTTATGCCTTTCTTCCCTTCGCTTGTGTTCAAGGGCCTCAGGACCCCTTGGGGCAGCAGCTGGGGGCCTCTGAGCGCCTCGGGAGAATCCTAATCACACTGGAGCAGCCGAAGCTTGATTCCATCCTCAGTGATGCCTTCTGACATTTAATGAGTTAAGGAGCTAAATCCCCTTCATCCCAGAGCGGCGGAGCTAGCTGCAGCGCTGGCTGCCGCAGGAGCAGTGCGTGGGGGCGGGGCCAGGACTACACTGGCCATGCCTGTATCTGTACAGCAATGTGCTTGCATGTGCAAATCCGCATGTGTGCACATGCTGGTATAGACACAGGTGCCCGTGAGCACAGGGTCACAACCCACCAGAGGTCAGTCAGGCTCAGTCGGACCACCTACCTCCTCCAAATGGCCAGCACGCTCATCACAGAGCCCAGGACAAGGAGGGCTGAGATGGTCACCACGGTGACGACAACTGCGGGGCTCTGGTCCCTGGAGCCGGAGGCAGCTGGGAGGAAGAGCACGAGGTTGAGGCAGGCAGAGCACGGGGCTCCTGGGTAAGTGTCCTCGCCCCACAGAAGGGTTTCCGCAGCACCTTTGCCTCCCACAGCAGAGGGATCAAGGCAGGCCCGCCAAACACAATGGCGCCTGGAGCTTCCGGTTCTCCCAGGGCTGGGCACCGCCACAGAAGCCCAGCTCTGAGAGAGAGGCGCAGGGGTCCAGACAGGCAGACCTGGGACTCCCCTTTTGCCTTTCAGATGGGCCATGACAGACTGAAGGTAGCTCTGCAGGGGAATGGCCTCTTGCCTGCGCTCCCCAACCCCAAGCGAGACCATTCACCACCAATAATAATAAAAGTAAACGTTTAGCGCACACTTAAGCCATTCAAGACACTATGCCACGTGCCTGGACTGAATGATCCTGTTTCATCATCACAACCAGCCAGTACGGTGCCACTGTCTCCATTTTACAGCTGAGGAAATTGACATTGAGGCAAGTTGTATAACTTGTTCAAGGTCACAGAGCTAATAAATAATGATCCTAAGATTTGAACTTGATTTCAAACCTCTGCTTTGAGTTATTTAACCAAGGGAGGGGCCTAGAGGAGCTCAGGCTCTCAGCCCTGTCCACCCATCCACCCATCCACCCATCCACCCATCCACCCATCCATCCATCCATCCACCCACCCATCCACCCATCCATCCACCCACCCATCCACCCATCCATCCACCCACCCATCCACCCATCCATCCACCCATCCATCCACCCACCCATCCACCCATCCATCTACCCATCCATCCATCCATCCAACAGTGCGAGGCTGGCGCTGGGGAGGAAGCGATGAATGAGCCAGCGTCCCTGCCCGGGAGGGGTGTACAGACCAATGGGAAAGATAGAAACTAAAACTTAACTGTAGAATAAAATAAGAAACAGAGAAAGCTGAGCAGAGCTGAACAGAGGAACAATCATTTCTTCCCAAAGGCTTTGAAGAATATGGCAAAAGTAATGGGTATCATTTCCAAGATTAGGTTACGGGAGACTGTGCCTTCTGTCTCGGGTGTTCTCTCGCTCATTCACAGTCTCTAAAAGAGTCTAGTTGCTGTGTTGTGAGTAGCCCTTCGGAGAAGCCCGTGAGCCAAGGAACTGCATGCCTCTGCCGAAGAGCCAGCAAGAACCCAAGAAGGGAGCAGAGTCTCCCACAGGTAAGCCTTCAGATGAATCACAACCCCAGAGGACACCTTGACTGCGTTCTTGTGAAAGACCCTGAGTCAAGTGGCACCCAGTTAAGCTGCACCCATACCCCTGACCCACAAAAAACCATGAGATAACAACTTTTTGTTATTTTCAGCTGCTAAGTTTGGGGGGCAATTTGTTACGCAGCAATGGGGCCCTGAAGCATGGTCTTTCATCATGATCCTAATCTGGGGTTATGGCTCACTGGAAAAAATGTTATGCAGACTGGGAGGCCCAAGCCCCCATAGCCAGGGCCACAGCAAAGGATGCTGGGGAGCTGAGCAGTATCCACTAACCAAAAAGCACCAGATGAATGGAAGTCACCAGCCCCTTCCGCTAACAGTCCCAGCTCCTGCCCACACCACACTCACTCTAGCCAAATCCATGCGCCTTTGTTCAGATGGCTTCGTCTATCCGAAGTGCCTTTCCTGCCCATCTCCACACAGTCATGTTCCCCAGCCTTCGAGACATGGCTCTAATCTCCGTTTGCCAGCACCTGGCCAAGGCCTGGCACAGACAGGCATTCGAGCAAGAAGTGCTGTCTCCCTTCCCAGAACACAAACTCCCTCAACATTTTATCTCCACCTCCCTTTGGGCTCAGAGCTCTTCCTATCTTGGATTAGACTCATGTAGCAGGTTGGGAAGAATTATTATCTTGACAGCTGGTGCCAGAATGCCTCTTAGGGGGAACTGCCTTTGTCCGGGAAAATACTTTCACGAGCTGCTTGGGATAGATAGAGGTGAGACCCCGAGGACTGGGTTAGCAGCAAGAGAAACAACAAAAGAGGACGCTAAATGCTCTTCATGCATCCTGAAAGGGAGTTTGGGGGTGCAGGGATGAGGAACAGGGGAGGGCGGTGAAGGGGATGGTAGAACAGTGCCGTGGAGAAGCGGAGCTGTTTTAGAATCAGCACATCTAATGTTCAGCTTTTGTTTTGTTTTGGTAACAGCTCTATTGAGAAATTTTTCACCACTGAGAATGCACAACTCTCGTTTGGTTGCACTGATTGCTGCGGTGCAACCCCTTCACGGCCCCCATCCCCCAGTGAAGTCTGTTTCAATGTTTTAAGGCCCCGTGGGGAAGGTGACAGTGACCCACGTTTGGGTCCATATCACGGCAGAGAGAAAGAAGCAGAATGGGAACAGGAATTTAGCCGTCAGCCCAGCTGGCATGGCTCAGTGGCTGAGTGTCAACCTATGAACAGTAGGTCATGGTTTGATTCCCAGCCAGGGCACATGCCTGGGTTGGGGGCTCAATCCCCAGTGTGGGAGTACAGGAGGCAGCCGATCAATGATTCTTTCTCATCACTGATGTTTCTATTTCTCTCCTTCTCCCTTCCTCTCTGAAATCAATAAAAATATATTTTTAAAAAATGAATTTAACAGTCAGAGCGAGAGGTGACCATGAGACTGAAACTCCTCCCAAGGAAATAGCAAGAATCTTGGGGAGGGCACAGGACGCTTCCACAAGACATGGGATAGGTCCTGAGAGGCAGGGAGCCACCAGCCGAGACCTGGGGTGTAGGTGTTCGTGACCTCCTTCAGCCCAGGCAACCCATCTAATTCACATCCTGAACAGGTATCAGGCGGGTTCCAAATTCATTAGTTAATTAGGTTGTAATTAAACTGTACTGCAGGCTCCCTTAATTGCAGATAACCGCCCCCTCCAATTTGTCTCCCTGCCCCATCCCCGCCCAGGTCCCCTGGCGCAGCTCACTCACCCTCCCCTGGGGTCTGTACTTCAATGCTGGGGCTGAAGCTCTGCGTCTCCCAGGAGGGCCCCGGGGAAGCCGCCCGGATCTGAAAGATGTAGCGAGTAGCTGGCTTCAGGTTGGTGACGGTGACCGCAGGCGCCCCTGTCTTCACGGTGGAGTACGTCTGCTCGTTCTGACCCTGGGGAGGGACCAAGAAGTGAGGCCTAGACCAAGGGCCAGACCCAGGCTCCTGGGAGAATGATGGGGGCAGGAGGAGGGAGGCAGGAGAGCACCCTTAGGAGGAAGAACCTGACTGCAGTCGTCTCCGGGGGATTCCACAGGTTTCTCCCAAAGCATCCACAACCCCTTCCTCCTCCACAAGTTCCCACCCCACTCGCTAAGAGAAACTTTAGGGAAGGAGCTAGGTCTTCCTTCACGGGGGTGACAGGATGACGGGCACCAGGCCTGGCAGTCCAGGGGGTGAGCTGGGCCTGCTGCCTCTGAGGAAAGAATAAGAAAATGAGCCTGACACCTGCCCGGTCCTTGTCGGCTCACAAAGCCTTTCTTCCCCTTGTCATCTGATGTTCACAACTGCCCTGCAAGGCACAGGACAGGAGGTATCATCTTTTTGAGATAAGGACATTGAGCTCAGAGGGTAGAGGGGCTCCCTCCACCTTCCTGTTCAACATACCACTCCCCCAGCTCACAGCTCCCAATAGACTTCCGGGATTCTAAACCTATTATGTGATTCAGCAAAGAATTCCTCCAGCGACTGAGGAGCCAGCGAAGCTCTGACACAGGCAGTGCGGAAGCTGAAAGCAAGGCTTCACAGTAATGAAGATATCTGCACCCAGGTGGGAAACGGTTTAACAGGAGATTACGTGTCAGATTTACAGACAATACAGCCATGGGGGAAAGAGATAGTGGATCGGGAGGTAAGTCCATTTGTCAAATCATGGCGGGACTGCACCCATGGACTGACAACAGACACAAGAGGTGAGCAAAAAATCAGCAAGAGTATCTATCCTATCAGAATCAATAGGCTATAGGAGTTTCCAATAAGAAGCGCTATATATATATAATTTCAGCTCAGGTTTCAATGCCAAATGAATTACAGAAAAGATTCTGGTTTGGCTGTCAGAACTGTAGATGAAGGACTCTAAATCTATACACAGATCATATCCTGTAGCTGTCCGGTGGCAGTCTCCTTAGCATGGCCTCAATGGGAAATCTTTGTGATCTTCTTTATACTATCCATGCCTCCTTCTCTTATCGAATCATGTAAGTTACATAAGGCTATTTTAATTTTCTGTATTTTCTAAATCCCTACAGTAAATATATATTTTAAATTAAATGCATTAAAATTTCAGTTGAAATTTTATAAAGCTGGGACAGTAGGATGTCCACACCTAGTGTGTGTGTGTGTGTGTGTGTGTGTGTGCGTGTGTGTGTGTGTGTGTGTGTGAAAACTTAACTTTGATTTTGCTTTTCACTGCTGTCGCATGAAGTTCTCCCGTCTGTGGGTACCTCCTTAGGAAGAGTGGAAGAACTCCCTCCTGTCCATCACCTCCTCTTCCTCTCCCGACCCTGGACCCTCACAAAAGTAAACAGGCCTCTGTGTACTACCATCTTACTAAGGTAATGGCAGGACACTGGTTTCAAGTGGTAAAAGCCCAGTTCCACGGGAATGGGTGGGGGTGGCGGCCTCATCGCAGGCCGGCATAATGCCCCCAAGGCAGCAGGATCTCAGAGAATGACCCCTGGGGCTTGGGATGGTTGGTAACTAATTGTGATGGTGTTTACAGCCCAGATTGCTTAGCACGGAGGGAGTGAAGCTGGGATCTACTTAGGCAAAGCTGCAGGGACCAGCAGGACCACTGTATATTTTTATTATTATTTGTAAATGTTGTTACATATCCTTTATGTCAGTACAATTATAATAATAATCCATCCATTCCCTGTTCTGGAGAGCTGATAGTTAAACACTTACCAGCACATTGCCGAGCCCTAGCAGGCCACCTGACCTAGCCATGTGCTGAGACAGTCATGCATTTTTGTAAAATTTGAAACAATATAATATTTCTGCGTTATTTTTTTTTCAGGATTATAAATTGTATGTCTACGATTCGGGTACATAAAATCTGGATCAGCCCGCAGAGAAAGCTCTTTGTCAACTGTAAACACCAGGCAAAAGTGGTGAAGATGGAGATGATGGCTAGTGATGAAGGGAGACTTGAGGGAAAGAGGAAGAGCAGGGGAGTCCACAGTGAGCAGGGGCCAGGAAGAAACTCCAGCCTGCAAGGCCACTCAGGAGGCCCGTGGACATGTTTAGAAAAAAGGACTTTTGCTGGGAAAAGATTGTGAAGAAGAGGAAAACAATGGGCAGAGGACAGGCTGCAACTGGGAATGCAGCGCCTGGTGCCTCCCAGACCCTGACCCACCTTCTCGTAGTAGCGGATCTCGTATTCTGTGCCATTGGCCCCAGCGGCTCCAGCAGGGATGGGCTCCCGCCATGACAGGGACACGCTCTGGGGTTCCACTCGGTCCCTGCGAATCTCATCCTCCTCCCAGGGCCCTGAAAGAAAGTAATGTGGGTTTTTCAACCCCATCTGACTGCAGGGCAGGGTCAGGGGCCTGTGAGGACTGAGGACAGGGGCCTGTGAGGACTGGGGAAGGCTGAGGGGCGTGGCCTAATGGTTGTGGGTAGGGGCAATGGGCTCCAGTGGGACAGAGGCTGAGGGGTAGAGTCTGTGAAGCCAGAGGCAAGAGAGGCCCCCAGTCACTCCACACACTGATCTCTACTTCCGTGGCTCCTGTGGGAAAAAGTGCCAGGCCTCCTGCTGCTTGCCCATCCCCTAAACTCCAGCTCCCCTCCTGGTGGTAGGTTCTCATCCCCCAGGCTCTTCCTAATTTTTCCGTGGTTTAGAGACATTAGAGAGTCTAAGAGCCAGGAAGACCGGCTACTTAACTATTCTAATGACCTGGTGAAGAGGTATATTCAACACACTCAAAATAAAAGGAAACTACTTCAACACAATAAAAACCAATATGAAAAGACCACAGCCGGCATATTACTCAACAGGAAAGGTTGAAAGCTTTCCCTCTAAAATCAGGAACAAGACAAGGATGTCCACTCTTGCCACTTTGATTCAACATAATATTGGAAGTCATGGCCAAAGCAATTAGGCAAGAAAAAGAAAAGAAATCCAGATTGGAAAGGAAGAAGTAAAATTATCTCTGTCTGCACGTGACATGATCTTATATAAAGAAAACCCTAATAATTTCACACACACACACACAAACACCTGTTAGAACTAATTAACAAATACAGCAAAGTTACAGGATACAAAATCAACACGCAAAAATCAGTTGCACTATGCACTAACAGTGGACAGTCTAAAAAAGTTAAGAAAATAACTTCATTTACAATAACATTAAAAAGAATAAAATACTCAAGAATAAACTTAATGTTGATGGACAGGAAAAAAAAGAAGAAGAACAGGTACTAATGCCTAACCCAAAGCAGAAACCACCAGGTCACTGGGGGGAGATCCTGACTTGACTTCAGTGGGTGGAGCCGAGGGGTCTCCAAGAGCAGATGCTGGGAAGGCAGCTGGGTAAGTGGGTCCAGGGCTCACGAGAGGTGTCTGCGAGGAGGATGGAGATCCAAGAGCCATCGGAACGTGACTGGATGAAACTGCCCAGAAAGAGAGGAGGAAAAGCTTTTAGGAAATAAGCCAAAGACACAACATGTAAGAGGCTGGCCAAGAGGGGACTGCAGAGGAGGAGCCAGAGAGGAAGGAGGGAAACAAAGAGCCAACGAGGTCACAGACGCCCTGGACGGACATTTAAGAAGCTTCTCTCCTGACACCTCCGCTCATTAGCTCAGTGTCCAGCAGCAGGAGCCCGCCGTGTCCATGTTCATACGTGGAATGGAAACAGTGATGACACTGCGCGCGCAGGCTGGGAGGGTTTTATGAAGTAATGAATACGAAGAGCATGAGCACGGCGCCCACACAAGTTTGCTAACAAGAGCGGCCGTGGTCAGCAGTGTCGCATGCTGAGAAGAGACGGGGTAAGACGATGAGCCCCAGGGCCCTTTGGCTTTAACAATGTGGAGGTTCCTAGTGGCTTCAAGGGGTTCAAGGGAAGGTGGTGTCAGCTGGTGGAGGGCCCAGGAAGTGGAGGCAGGGTATATGTAGCTCACCCTTTGAAAAGTGTGTCAGCATGGCTTCTAGTTTTAAATGGTATCCATCTAGCAGCCCTACCTCCAGTTTTTCTCCAATTTCAGTTAAAGCCCTGGCTGGTTCAGTTCAGTGATGAGTCATCGGCCCGGGGACCTAAGGGGTTGCAGGCTCAATTACCAGCCAAGGGCAGTACCTGGGTTGCAGGTTCAATCCCTGGCCCTGGTCGGGGCACATGCCAGAGGCAACCAATCGATGTGTCTCTCTCACATCAGTGTTTCTCCCCCTCCTCCCTCCCTTTCACTCCTTCTAAAAAAAAATTAAAATTAAAATTAAAAAAAAGTCAATGGAAAAAATATCCTAGGATGAGGATTTAAAAAAAAACTTTTTCCCTCGTTAAAACAGGGATACAGAAGGAGTCAAAAACCCAGAACAGCACCATCACTACTCTTGACAGCTGATGGCCAGAGGGGGGCGGGGAAGGGGAAGTGGGGTGGCGGCACATTTCCACCTGTGATACAGCCAGGGGAACTAGATTGAAAAGTGCAATTGTAGTGAACCCCAGGCTAAGCTGCCACGGAGTGACATTGCCTCTCATCCTAAAAATAATTTGAAAGGTCCTGTATCCTTTCTCACAATGTCTGCCCCTTAAAAAATAGCAAGGTCTTTGTCAACTGGACAATGCACAACCATCACTGGCTACACAGCTGCTTTCCGGAAAAGTGCTCTTCCTTATCCCAGGGAGCGCCCTCAGCCTGAATCCAGTTGGAGACAGCAGCTCCCGAGCGATGAAATGTCCTAGGAGGCGGCGCGGTCCCTCGCAGATACAGACGGACGGCACAGGTAGAAAGGGGCTCGGAATGTCATTTTTGTAAACTACGTTTGTTGAAAGCATCAGATGGACAGGATATAGAGGTAAGAGAAGGTTCCGTTTCAGCCCCATGGAGATACATTACATGAGAGCCTGATAAATCCTGAGAATGGAGCGAAAAGCTGAGCCCAGGCACCTGCTCTCCCGCTGCAGATGTGTGATGAGATTCATCTGCATCAAGTGGGGCCAAGAGTGCAGCAGACACTGTCGGAAACCTGTTCAACAGCCACGTCCCCCTTCCCTGAGGGCTGAGCGCAGTTTCTGACTCGGGATCTATTGTCTCGCCCCAGATGACGCAGGTTAATTCTGATTGTTCTAACACACCTGTGTGCACTCATTCCCTTTGCCAATGATTGCTTTAGGGCTGGGCTTGCAATCCGGTTCTGGCCGACAAAAGGAGCAATCAGCTAAGAGGAGGAGGGCTTCTGGAAAAGGTTTCTTGTTCTTAAAAGGATGCCTACAAGGAGGAAGCAGTTCATTTTCTGCTCTGGGTGGTAAGGATGTGATTTCTGGGGCCAACTTACCACCATGAAGGGGCCAGCCTATGTGATAAGGATGTCAGAATGGAAAGATGGAAAGAGCCGGGCCCTTGGGGACACTGCTGAGCTGCTGAATTACCCAGGCTTTAACGCTACTCTTTTTAGGTAAACTCAGAAATCATTCTGATCAAATGTCAGATGGATTGAGATTTATTGTACTTACAGCTGAAAGTCTCACAATCAAAGGACAATTCACACATCTTGGGTTTTGTTGTTTTTTCAAACATCAGCTTTTTTATTGTTCAAGAACAAACAGATAGAAAACACCGAGAAATTGGGCATATGAAAATACTTCTGAATAAGCAAACAGAAATATTATTCTGAAGACTCAGGAGGGGCAGGTCTTTAAGCGTGATTTAGTATGACAGAGGAGCAAGTGAGGAGATTCTCTGGCCTCTTCAAGAAGGTGACAGAAAACACAGACTCCACAAAATAGAAGCAGAAGGCCGTGAGGAGAAGACAGGTGGAGAAGAAAAGAAGCGAGACAAGATAAAAGTGGTGATGTTGAGAAAGGTTTGTGGAGAAACTAAAAGCACTTTAGCAAAAAAATAAAAAAAAAGGTAAAAAATAAAAATAATGCATTAGCAAAATTAAAATATTTAAAATAAAATTCATTACAAATACTGTATAAGGGATTTTAACAAAATCACAAGCAGAATGGGAAAACCTAAACCTCTCAATCTTTGGAACACCAAGTACACAATTAGAAGAAAATAGACTTGAAAAAAAAGCAGATAGATAGATATATAGAGAGAAACACTACAGAACAAAAATACTACACATTTTTTTTCACCAAAAATCTACTAGTACTGTTCAATGAATTCAGCAAAGTAGTATGATACAAAAAAAAAATTCAGAGATCAGTTCCATTTTTATACACCAATAATGAACTATCAGAAAGAGAAACAAAGAAAACAATCCTACTTCCAATTGCTTTAAGAAATAAAATAGCCCTGACCGGTGTGGCTCAGTTGGTTGAGCATCGTCCCACGCATTCAGTGGTTGCCAGTTCCATTCCTGTCAGGACACATGCCCTCTTGCAGGCTGGATCCCCAGTAGGGGGTATGCAGAAGGAAGCTGATTTATGGTCCTCTCTCATTAATGTTTCTCTCTCTCTTTCTCTCTCTCTCTCTTCCCCCTTTCTCTCTCTCTCGCTCAAATCAATAAAAACATATTTTTATAAAAATAAAATACCTAGGAATAAATTTAACCAAGGAGGTAAAAGATCTATATTCAGAAAATTATAAGACCTTGAAGAAAGAAATTTAAAAAGATACAAATAAATGGAAGCATATATCATGTTCATGGATGGGAAGAATTAATATCATTAAAATGTACATATATTCAAAACAATCTATAGATTCAACACAATCCCTATCAAAACACCAAAAATGGCATCTTTCACAAAACTAGAACAAATAATCCAAAAGTTTATAAGGAATCACAAGAGACTCTGAATAGCCACAACAAAATTTATAAAGAACTGGAAAAGGTTTCTTGTCCTTAAAAGGATGCCTACAAGGAGGAAGCAGTTCATTTTCTGCTCTGGGTGGTAAGGATGTGATTTCTGGGGCCAACTTACCACCATGAAGGGGCCAGCCTATGTGATAAGGATGTCAGAATGGAAAGATGGAAAGAGCCGGGCCCTTGAGGACACTGCTGAGCTGCTGAATTACCCAGGCTTTCTATCCAGTACAGTATCCTATATAATAAAAGGCTAATATGCAAATTGTCCCCTCAATTTTCTCAACACAACCCCCCGCCCCAAACAATTCAGTTAAAAAATGGGCAGCCCTAGCCGGTTTGGCTCAGTGGATAGAGTGTTAGCCTGCGGATTGAAGGGTCCCAGGTTCGATTCCGGTCAAGGGCACATGCTCAGGTTGCGGGCTCAATCCCCAGTAGGGGGGCGTGCAGGAGGCAGCCAATCGGTGATTCTCTCTCATCATTGATGTTTCTATCTCTCTCTCCCTCTCCCTTCCTCTCTGAAATCAATAAAAATATATTTAAAAAAGAAGCAACCAATGAATGAATAAATAAGTGGAACAACAAACTGATGTTTCTCTCCCTTCCTTTATCTCTATAAAATCAATTAAAAAAATTTTTAATTAAAAAAAAAATGGGCAGAGGACCTAAACAGATACTTCTCCAAAGCAGATATACAGATGGCCTATAGCCATATGCAAAGATGCTAAATATCACTAATCATCTGAAAAATGCATATTAAAACCACAATGACATATCACCTCACACCTGTCAGATGTCTATCACCAATAAACCAACAAACAAATGTTGGCGTGCAGTGTTAGTGGGAATGCAGATTGGTTCAGCCACTACGGAAAACAGTGTGGAGGTTCCTCAAAAAATTAAAAACAGAACTGCCTTATGACCCAGCAATTCCACTTCTCAGTATATATCCGAAAAAATCCAAAACATTAATTTGAAAAGATACATGTCCATTACAGCATTATTTACAACAGCTAAAATATGGAAGCAATCTAAGTGACCATTAAAAGACAAGTGGATAAAAGAGCTGTGGTACATATATACAATGCAATATTACTTGGCCATAAAAAATGAAATCTTACCATTTGTGGCAGCATTGATGGACCTAGACCGTATTATACTAAGTGAAATAAGTCAGAAAGAAAAAGACAAATACCGTATGATTTCACTTACATGCAAAATCTAAAGATCAAAATAAATGAACAAACAAAACAGAAACAGACTCACAAAGAGAACAAACTGATGGTTGCCAAAGGGAAGATTCCTGGTCCGGGCACAGACCCAAGTTGCAGGTTTGATCCCCTGGTCAGGCACATACAGAAGGCAGCCAATCAATGTTTCTCTTTCTCTCTCTCTCTCTCTCTCTCTCTCTCTCTCTCTCAAAAAAAAAAAAAAAGAAAGAAAAATACAAATTGGTAGTAACAAAATAGTCATCGGGATGTAAAGTACAGCATAGAGAATATAGTCAATAATATTGTAATAATATGTATGGTGCCAGGTGGGTACTTTAAAGATTGAAACTATCATCAAACTTCCCTCCCCCACTCCCAAAAAAGGTACCTGTCCCAGAGAGTTACCCAGGCAGCTTTGCATGCCTTCAAAGAATGTATAATTGTGCTATTTAAATTGTCCCAGAGGAGGAAAACAAGAAGAGGTTCTTCCTGATGCCTTTCCCAAAGCCAGAATCACCATAATCCCAACACTTGGCAAAGAATGCAATAAAAAACACTACACAAGTCTCTCTTATAAATGTAGATGGAGAAAAATATTAACATTCAAGCAAGTTAATTCAGCAAAATATTAAAAGAATAATGCACTCATATCCAGTAGGGTATCCTATATAATAAAAGGCTAATATGCAAACTGTCCTTTCAACCAACAGTTCGACTGGGAGTTTGACCAGGGAGCCAGGCCCACCAGCCAACTGCCTGACCCATACTGATCACCTCCCCCACAACCCCAATCGGGGTGGGCCAGCCAGATCCCACCCATGCACAAATTCGTGCACTGGGCCTCTAGTCATCTAAGAATGCAGAGAGAGTTCACATAGAGAAATCCATTAATAGAATTCATCCTACCAATAGGTCAAAAGAGAACATGTGGTCATCCTGAAAGATGCTTAAGAGGCATTTTATAAAATTAGCATCCATTCCTTATTTTTACAGAAAGTTCACTAAAAGGTGGAAGTATTATATAGCCAAGGGGCTTCAGTGGTAGAGAGACCTGAATTCAAAGACTGGTGTCTACTTACCAGCTGATTGACTGGACAATTCACTTCGCTTCTCAGACCTCAATTTCATCGTTTGAAATATGATTATCGAATTTGATTGAATTAATGTAGAAAATCATATTGCACAGTGCCAAACATAAAGCAGCATTCAATCAGTGGAAGTTTTGTATTTTTGTTAACAAATAAAAATAAAGAGTATTTCCTTAACATAATTTCTAAATCCATCTCTATCAAAAAAACAGGACTGTTAATATGAAATACCAGATAAAAGCTTGTGCTGCATATAGTATTATAAAAAAAGGATTTTCTAGTAGATAGTTCTATATATGGGTATAGAGATAAAGA